GAAATACATGTGCCTCTCGGAAAAGATGAATCAGGGTAAAATGACACTTCAAAATCTTGCTACAGCTGTTGATAATGATAAAATTAATGGAAGAGTGAAAAGGTTCATTCTGGGATGTAATAAAGTATATAGACTGATAACTGAATTAATTATACAACTGTTCTAATTATTAGACAGTTCTATAAATGAGGTGCGTGTACTGTACACACTGTCAATTATTATATTCTGCATTTCTATAGGATGCTTTTTATACCTATTTTAATTCATATTTTCTGATTCTGTAAGTGGCATTAGAAGAAACTAAGTTATTTAAAATCTCACTGTACAACCTTTTGTCCGTGGCCTCAACCTTTGAAGGAACTATATGGACCTCAACGTGTCTCAAAACAGACCTGCACAAAGACAAGATGCACAGTACAGAGAAGCTTGTAGGACCCAGGCCACTGAAGAGCAGGGCCTTTTGCGTACCCTTTCATGACTCCTGCAGCATTCAGACTGATGCCACGATAATGGGGTCTCTTCCCCATCTGAACAAGTGAGCTCTGCACAGACACAGATGCAGAAGATTATCAAGTACACACTTTTCATACTGAGTATTTATTTCCCGGACGCTCTCATCCTAGCCCGTAAATCCAAATGGAAAAAAGTGACAAAACATTTAAATCACTCTACATCCCCAAATCCTGCGAAGAAAAAATGTAAAATAAAAACTTAAGCACACTGCTTGCCATGCTTCTGACCTTAGGGAATCCTAAGTAGTAATTAACAACTCCATGCAACCAGTCATACATTGAAATGCCAATACAGTTTTAGACAGCAGCAGTCACAGAAGGGGGAACAACATTTTTCACCCTCACCCTTTCCACTCTCCATCATTAGTACTAGAGTAGCTGATGGTGGAGACCTGACAGCTTTATCACCCAAGCTGCCAGAATTTACAAAGCCACCTTTAAATTCATGGCAGTGCCTGTACACAGTCTTATAACTCCTGCAGCTCCTGGGTGAAAAGGGAAATTAAATGGAGCTGTGAAAACTGAAATGTCCTGATGAGTTACCATCTTGCACTTTAGATAACAGCTCCAGAGACATTTGCAGGGAAAGAAAAAAACACTCAAAGCCTCGGCCCACATTAGAAGTATAATTCCTGTAGGTTTATTTCCAGGAAGGTAAGCAGTTATTGCCACTTTCTTACTTCTGTGTTATATATGCCATTAAGCAGTGCATGGCTGTTTCAGTGAGAATGAATGAGAATTAAGCCAAGAGCACACATAAAGCAGCAGCATATCCAGACTGGCTTGAAATCCAGGCCCCCCCATCTTTCTCTGGCCTGTTTAAAACAGTAACTGGACATATTCATAGTTATTTTCCTGCCTTGTGTTCCCCTGGTCATTTATACCAGACCACAGCTGAACGCTCCCAAACCCAATTTTTCTGTTTCCACACTATAGTTTTATATTGGCTCCTATAACCGTGGCTGCGCAACATATGTACAGAACAGTGAAGAATCACACAAATGTACTTATGCACTGTTTTCTTCCAACCCAGGATCTCCTTCTGTGCCCCTCACACATTCCCTTTGCAGCTGGTAGGGCAGCGAGGAGATGGCATGTCTGGTTTTGAAGGCGCACCAGGCCTGTCATATATCCTACGTGGCTCCTTTGAGTCTGGCTGCAGTACCAGTAAGACAGTAACTAGCATACAATGGCAAAAATGCATGGTGATCTTCTCAAATGTAGTGTATTAATTTAGAAGACTGATCTGAACCACCACAAATCAAGATTATGCAGCTTGACAGGGCTGAAAAATAAATCCATGTCCATCATTTTTTCTACAGGCATTACCATAGACATGTGGTGATTGCACGCTCAGAAGAAATCGACAGCCTACAGGATTAATACTCATACCTATGCAAATCTGACTCTCTCTTAAATGATTTGCAGTATAAATCGATTCCCTAAGATGTCAGATCTCTGGCTAGTGCCAGCTTGTAGCAGGTAAGATCTTACCCATAAACCCATTCCTAAAAATGCCACCGATTGAGAGGAAATATCCATCTTGACAACTACAATAATACTGGCTTTTCTTTGAATACTGGATCCTCACTGGAAGAGATGTGAAATATTTTCAGTCCACATCACACGGCCAAAGTCCACGTAATAAGTTCTGAAATCCACACCTACCATTGCTAAAGTTCTCAAGGAATTCTGTGGTCTGCTTTTTATCTTGTTTATTGTGTACACAGATGCAAAATCTTTCAGAAGTGGTGCTAAGATTATAACAATACTTTGACTGTTTAAAACATCCAAGTTTTACTTGGATGGGTGGAAGCCATAGGGGAACAAGAGCTTGCAGAGGCAATACAAAGTACCTTGCTGACTACAAAGAACATAGTTCTGATACTAACTGGCAGTAGATGGTGGCTGTGCCTTGAACTGAGGTAGGGTTTAGTGCATTAGCACCGAAATAAGATGGAGAAAACTGCAGCTGAAAATAAATCTGCAGTGGGAACATTTAAAGTATTATTAGGATCAAATTCTCTTCCCAGTGACTTCACAGAAGATCTGGCTCCTATAAATGACAGGCTTTGTCTTACCCCTCTTGCAACGTGAGACTCGCCAAGTTACAGCCTGGAATTCACAGGAAGTGTATTATTTCATAAATCAAAGAAATCAAAGATCGAGTGATTCATCAGGGCTTGAAAGTAAAAACTATATAATACCCACTGCGCAGCAGGGGTTCTGAAGAGTATAGAAATGAAACTTCAGTGCAGGGAAACACTTTTTTATCTTTTTTTGCTTTTTCCTTTTTTCTTTTTTTTAATAATATGGTCCACAGTAAGTCTCCAGAGAGGCCTGCAAAGAAACTTAATTTCAAAGGAGCACAACTGAGTAACAGTCTGTGAACACAAGCAGCCCAAAGAAAAATGTGCCAAAGAAGAAAAAACAAGTCAGACAGCTCGACAGCCTATGATTTTCAGTCCCCAAAGCAACTCTAAAGCAACCAAAACAACTCTTCCCTTCCATCAGGATATTGCCACATTAAATAAACCACACAGAACGTGTTGATGCAATTCAGCTCTACTTTTCTCCATCGTAACTGTAAATCTGCAGAAAACAAACGCTGACCGGCAAACATACCTTAATATCATGACAGTTCCTCTTTTCCAAAGGGAATGGTTGGTTATTGTACACCACGAATGGAGTCTAACCCAAATGGATTGTACCAACTCCTTCTTCTAAACCAAAGTATTATGTAACTCTTAATTAATGAATTACGACAGCATAGTTGACAACAATCTCACTGTAAAGTTTTTTTTAGCTTTGTGGGTAAGCCATATTAGCAACGGACCCAGGAAGAAAGGTATTCGTTGTCCTGCTGTCCTCCCCCGGGGGAAACTCAAAAGCCTTTTTCTGAAGGGGAAGGAACAATCCTTCAGAGAACGTGATAGGTGAAGCAGAGAGGAGAAACTTGGTGCTATTAACTTGGTGCCAGGCTCGGATATTTGGTATTCAAAAAGACGGATATTAATTGTTTTGAATCACGCAGGCTGGAAGGGACCTCAGGAGGTCTCTAGTCCAATCTCCTGCTCAAAGCAGGGTCAACATGAAGCCATAGCGGGTTGCTCAGCATTTTAACCTGCTTAGGCTCGACACCCTCCAAGGACAGAGACTGCACAATTCCGTAGATAACCTGCTCCAGTTCCTGACTGTCCTCATGGTGAAGAAGTTTTCCTTAAACCACTCTGAATCTTTCTTGTTTCAACTTACACCTGTTGCCTCTCATCCACCCACCATGCACCCCTGGGAAGAGCCTGGCTCCTTCTCCTCCATGACCTCCTCATCAGGCTGGGTGGCTGCTCTTAGGTTCCCTCAAAGCCGTCTCTTCTCCAGGCTGAGCCAGACCCTGTCCCTACGCTCCCCGATGAGGAATGGGCTCTAGCCCTGACCGCCTTGGTGACTGCTGCTGAATTCACTCCAGTTTACCAAGTCTTTTTTGTACTGGGAGACAAGCGCCAGCCTGGAAGGTGAACTCTTAAAACTTGTAATTTTCTTTTTTTTTCTATAGACTCTAACTTCAAATAAGTGTTCTCAAAACCCAACAAGGCTTTGCTAAGAACTGGCCATCATGAAAAAGTCAGTAGATTACTGACATCAGTTAGAATAATGTCCTCTTATTCCACTATCTGTTGTATATAATCTAAGTTCTCAGGAGAAAATGTGATCTCATTGCTCAGATACAGAAAGACTAAACAAAGGGAGAACTTCCAAAGCTTTGGTTTTACCCATTTCTACAAAGTGATGAGAAGTTGCCAGCTGATGCAAAAGGTAGCTAGTTAATTCTGAAACTGGAAGATAACAGTCTTTCCAAAATCAATACTGAAAGTAATATAAATTTAATGCCAAACATCCCTATTCTTAGTTTTTCCACCAAAGTTGGAAATTCTTTTTAAAATGCGCTTAAAGAAGTGTTTGGAGATGTTCAGCCACAGTTGACTAACAGGTTAAAACAATGATTAAACTGCTTCAAAGCAGTATTTCTTGATAAATTAGCAGCGCCCTTGAAAAATTAATTCCTGTTGAAAAGGGCCACCTCCTCGTGTATTGCTGACAGCACCAGTCCACACCAATTTCAGCAGGATTTGCGAGCGTGCAAGACCTGTCAGGTCAGTCCCCGTGCTAATAAACGAATACAGCGCGTTTCCATGAAAAAAAAAAATTAAAAAAATTAGGACATAAATCTATCGGCCGAGGTTGTATTCCACTGCCGCCATTTGCTGCGACGGCAGCACGGGCTCGCCCCGTGGGGTGGGGGAGAGGGATGGATCAAATCCCATGATTTAAAAAAAAAAATAAATAAATAAGAATGAATTAAGGTTTCAAAGACTCACTAACTACTAACGTTACTCGCAGGCTGCTCCCCGGGCGGGAACGGCAGCCGCCATCTTGCGGCCGCCCGGCCTCTCGCGGGATCGCGGCCCTTCTCCTCCTCCTCCTCCTCCTCCCCTTCCTCTCCCGCCCGGAACCCGGCTCGGCGTGGGCAGCCGCCGCCATGGAGTACCTGACGGGATCGCCGGCCCCCACTCAGGGCAACATGTAAGCGGCGGGTGGGCTCCGGGGGTCTGTTGGTCGGGTTTCGGCCGCAGGGTGTCCCGTTGCCGTGAGGGGGGGAAGGAACCGGGGGGCGGGGGGGGCGGCTCTCCTAGGCCACCGCTTCTCTTTAAAAAGAAAATTTAAATTAAAAAGCCTGCGCCTACCTTCGGTTTCCCCCGCGGGTTCCCGTAGCGGTCCCCTCCGAGAGCGGAGTTGCTGTTTCTGACTGACTTTTCCTCCCTGTGTTCCAGCCTCTGCTGCCAGTGCGGCGTGCCCATCCCGCCCAACCCGGCCAACATGTGCGTGGGGTGCCTGCGGGCCCAGGTGGACATCACCGAGGGGATCCCCAAACAGGGGACCCTCCATTTCTGCAAGCAGTGCGAAAGGTGGGCAGCCGGGCCCCTCTCCCTCTCCCCCTAGCCCGGGAGAAGCGGGCCCTCTCGGTGTGGTGGCTGCGGCTGGAAAGCAGGGCCGCCGCCTGACAGACCTCTCGCCGCTGCGCATCTTCTGGCCTGGTCTCTTGAGGTTTTTCAGCACGTTTTTGTATTTCTTTCCTTGAGGAAGCAGAAGGCTGTGGGTGTGTAGGGTCTAGAAGAAATCAATGAGTGAGTGTATGGCCCTTGAAAGAAAAAAAAAAAAGCAGGCGAGTCGGTAAGGATGGCAGTAAAAGTGGGAATGCACTTGGAATGCGCAAATCTTAACGCTTAGGGAGGCAAAAGCTGTAGGTGCATAGTTGATACTAAACCTGAAAGCTTGGGAAATACCTGCTCATCTTTTGAGTGATTTAATTTGCTGAAGCAGCTTCAGTGTGCTATAAAACGCTTCCTGTATCGTAGGTATCTTCAGCCTCCAGGAACCTGGATTCAGTGTACCTTAGAATCAAGAGAGCTTCTTGCTTTGTGTCTTAAGAAAATCAAAGCTTCGCTGAGCAAGGTGAGTAGCCAATCCTATCGGTATTGCATGGCGTGTCTATTGGTATTGCATAAAGCGAAGTCCAGCTAACTTAAACAGGGTTCAATCCTTTTGGAGCAGCTGTTTGTCCTTGTGTAGAGCTGATCAACTCATTTATATTAAACATAGAATTTTGAACATGCTAGAATTTTGGACAATTTGGTAAGGACAGGCTCGGGTCTAACAAAAAATTTCCAAGCGTACTGAGGAGGCTCTTGCAGTGCGATTCTGTGACTTCAGAGCATACAGCGTGCTGCGCAATTGCTGCTGTATAGATGGGAGTTGAGCGTAATTAACCAAAGGAAGCTAACACGTTTTTAGTGCACCTTCATTTTACAGTTTTCTTTTTACACATTTTTAAAATTGTTTATACAATTGCTCTTACTGATTTATGACGATATGAAAGAGGATTGCAGAGCTCTCTATGTAGACTAAACTGAAAGCTGCATGTTTAAGTTGAATAAAGTATCTCTTAGGTTCAGAATCTTACCAGATGAAAAAATCTGAGATAGTGGTTTAGGCAAAAAAAATTGTTTTGTTACCGCAGTCATCAAGGTTTGAATTAGATTGCCTTGTCGGGCTTCTTGCTATTGGGTCCGTACTTAAATATGCAAAATATCTTTTGCTGCCGTAAATTTGCGTGCTTTTAGTTTTAGAGATTAAATTGGCTCTTAAGTCCTGAGGAAACCGTTATACTATCCAAATCCATCATTGCATGGCATCCAGAGATGCTGTTGAATAGTATATTCAGTTACTCTGGTGTGACAGTCTGAGGCTGCATCACCATTATTTTGGGTAGATCAGACTCTGTGTTCTAACTAAGCGTTATTAATTGGGTTTGGTATACTGATACGTATGGTTTTAATTAAGGTTTTTCACCTCCTCAGTTGAGAAGCTGTGAACTACACCATAAGCTTCTGTTTTGTGGTAGTTAGAGGTGCATGTTTTTAACACATGTACTAGCACAACTGCTGGCAGTAGGTGAGTTCTTGTTCTCTCCCACTGGCAGGTCCGGCTGATTGATGCAGGCTTTATTTGGACCGAACCACATTCTAAGAGGCTGAAGCTGAAACTGACTGTTCAGAAAGAGGTAATTGGAGTACAGTATTCTGCATGTGGCTTTTAAAAACTTTTATGGCAAAAAGTATGAATTATTATTATTATTACTACTACTACTACATTCTAGGTAAGTGGTTCTCTTTGGTAAAATCCAGCATGTGTTTACTGGCTGATCTTGAAAGAATATTGATTTCATCCTGCCTAAATTTTGTCATTGAAGTGCCATTCATTGCAGTTTGAAGAAGGTTATGGGCTGTTCCAGTAAAGCTGGGAAAATACTACTAATATATGTGACCCACATATAGCTGTCTGTCACATAGTTTTAGTATAGTATGGAAGTTATTTCAGAATGCTGTGGTAAACTAGCTGTCTTGACAGGACTAATGAGGAAGCCTTTTAAACTTTTGTTTTGCAGGTGATAAATGGAGCGGTTCTTCAGCAAGTATTTGTGGTGGAATATATAGTTCAGTCTCAAATGTGTGAAGACTGTCATAGGATTGAAGCTAAGGATTTCTGGAAAGCTGTAGTGCAAGTCAGACAAAAGGTAGAGGCAAACTGAATTCTCATTTGTTCATGGCAGAACCATCAGCCTGACAAGTATTTGGGTGGTTTTCTGATTTTGTCAGAAAAAGATGTACTCACACTAGCTCACTGCCACGGTGATACATTTTGTGTTCAAGGTTTGGTTTGGTTTGGTTTTTTTCTTACTGATCTTAGTTTAGAAAAACTTTCTCTTTGCTGTCCAGTGTTAATAGCATATTCTTTTTAAATGATGGCTGGCAGGAGGATCTTGTGTGAATTACTAAATATCCTTCTGTATTTTAAGGTAGTGTTAGAAACAGTGGGACAGATTGTTTATAAATATTTAAATCTTGTTTAAAGAAACTAGTATCTGTAGCAACCAGTTACACAAAAATGAGAAACGGAAACTTTAAATTATTTGGTATATATAGAGCACATCTCTGAAATCTTTTTGGTTACGTGGAATAGACTTTGGACTGTTCCTTCTCCAGGTGGTCTCTTCATATAAATGTTTATTCTTCAGAGATACTGCATTTGCACTAGACAGTTCTTAAATAACCTTGATAATTTTATCTTTATTTGGTTTTAGACTCTGCACAAGAAGACTTTCTACTATTTGGAGCAGCTGATTTTAAAACACAGGCTTCATCAAAACACGCTTCGCATCAAAGAAATCCATGGTAAGTGAGGTGGCTTGTTCGTCTTGAGGTAGAAGAGACTAACCTGTTTTATATTGGAAAAGTGCTTGCGTTAGTAGCTATGTACAGATAAGCAGCAGATTATTTAGCCTATGTATTGTATTTGAAAAAAATAAAAAACCATAGTACTTGAAATAGATATGTTCATCAAGCTTTTTTTCTTTAAGATGGCCTGGATTTTTATTATTCTTCAAAGCAACATGCCCAGAAGATGGTAGACTTTCTTCAGTGTACAGTTCCATCTAGGTATATCATTTATGTTTATTGCCTTGAGTACTCAAAAGCTTTTGGGAAATGTCTTTTATCCTTCATTTTTAAAGAATTTTGTAAGTGATAGTGTCAGGAACCTGTGTTCTAGTTAAAACAGACAAAATCCCTTCTATAGAAGAAGTCCCATATTTTCCACTTAGCCATTGTAAAACTAACCCTCATGCATTTTCCTATTTCCTTAATTTTTGTATTTGTAGTACATAGCTATATACTTTCATTGCTGTACTTTGTGCTCATTATCTCCTGTTTCAAGTAATGTCCTTCTTGCTGCCTGAAGGCTCTATTTTTATGTTTTATAGATCAAAATCATCCCAACGTTTGATTTCGCATGATATTCATAGTAATGTCTACAATTACAAAAGCACTTTCTCTGTGGAAATTGTTCCAATATGCAAGGTACCTTCTCTCTATTTCATCTTCAGGGTAATGTGTGAAGTGGGTAGGGTTTGGTTTTGGTGATGGAGGCCTGATTTATTGGGTATTTGGGAGGATGGGGAGGGTCCACTCCCCACGAAGCATGGGAAGTGCAGATAGCAGCTATCTTGAGGAAGTTATTGGGTGGACAACTGAAAATGCAAAGGTTAAAAATCTATTTCAGATTTCTCTAAAGGCTTGATTAAGAATTAAGGAAATATGAGTGTAAATTATTTTCTCTTTGTGTGCAGGACAATGTTGTATGTCTGTCACCAAAACTGGCGCAGAGTCTTGGTAACATGAGCCAGATCTGTGTGTGCATTAGAGTAACAAGTACCATCCACCTCATCGATCCTAGCACACTGCAGAGTAAGTTAGGGGTTCTTTTCTGCACTACGGCAGCATCTGATTTTTCTGCTGGCACAATGGGGTTTTTGGTTGTTTTTATGAAATCTTGTATTTTTAGACCTTAATGTTGTAAATTTATCTGTACAATCCCTGACATAGAAATTTAATAGCAAACTAAGACACAATTCCCTAAGCTGGATTTCCGTAGTATCCTGGGCAAAATGCAGGTTCAGTTTTAAGTTCATCGATGTTCTAGGCTAAGCACTTACATTTGTCAGCTATATTCCTCTAAAATGAGATGGCATCTAGTTTTTCTCTGGATTATGATTCTAGCCACTTCGGTACCAGAAGCACTGTGCTTTGGTTGGTATTTGCTAGTAAGCTCTGCTTTAGACATGCAATAGGTGATCTGGCTGTCACAGATCAACTGCTTTTGTAGCACAAATTTGCAATATGGGTCATGTCCTAAATACTTGTGGTACAATAACAAACTTGAATAAAATGCGGTTGGCAGTTGCCTTAATTTTGGCTAATGGTTTCTTTTCCTTTTAATTTCTTGGTAAGAAATTCTCTCCCTTGTGATTGCCCATTCTGGTGTTTTTTTTCCAGTTGCTGAAATTGACGGAAATACCTACTGGCGCCACCCTTTTAATAGCTTGTTCCACCCCAAACAACTAGAGGAATTCATCATTATGGATATCAACAGGGTTCAAGACAAGAAAAAAGGTGCAGGTGCAGGGGCAAGATCAAACAAGGTAAGAGTTCCTCTCTATTTGATTCAGTGTTTTGGGCCTTCCTCTCCCCTCCCTCCCCTACTCAGCTGAACTTCTGTTTTGAATCATTCTACCTTGAAAGTCAGATGTATGCTTTTCTATGTCTTGCCATTGGCAAAAAGCTCTTCTCAGGATGATGTGGACAGTGTTTTGGTTTGGAAATTGCACAGGCATTATGTGAATTCCACTTTCAGAAATGCTTTTCTGGTGAAGAGTTTAAACTCTGCTTGTTACTATCATTATTGAAATTATTTTATATTAGCTTTGCAACTCTTCAATTATTAAATTGGTTTTGTTGAAGTATAGAAGCATTTATTTTTAATCAGAACGAATGAGTCAGTACCAAACATTTTCTTCTCAGTGAAAAGCTGTATGTGGTTGAAAGCTATGAAATAAATACATAAATAAAAAAAAACCCAAAACCAAAAAGCAACACCAAAACACATGTCTAGTTATAGAAACAGCCTTCGTGGAATTCTTGTGAAACGTGCTTGGCATGTCCTTTTCCATACTTTTGTAAAGATGAGAAATGAGGAGTAAAAAGCAATACATTGGATGCTTGATGTAGAAATACAAGTTTAATTAGAAATATATTTTAAAACAGTAATATAGCAGAGCAAATGTTGTTATAGCACAGCAAGTTAAGCTGCATTTGATTACAAGAGTGTTTTATTTTTCATTCCTTAAGCACACACTGGCTGAAGCCTGGGTACAGAAAACCTCGGAGTTGAATACAGATCATCAGTATTTCTGCTGTACTCACTTGGGGCACATTCTGAATCCTGGCGACCTTGTCTTGGGGTCTGTTCTGTTTCTTGGTTTTTATTAAATGATTATTTAATGACTGAATTCTCTGGATTCTCTACAGGCTTACGTATTATCAAGAAAATTTTGAACTGTTCCGATTTCTAAATGAAATTGGCAAAAGGGATAGAATCTTTCATTTTGGCCACGAAGAGATGGTCCTAATACAGGAAATCTTTTTTCTAGCAGAAGTCATCATGTGAAGAGGGCTGTTAGTAATAAGAGAGCTGAAGTATTGACTTTTAGCGTGCAGATTGGAATAATGGTTTAGACACAAATAGATGGGAGGGATTTTTAAAATACCAGGGAAGATCTTTTTGTTTGATAGGGAGTATTGTATACAGCAATGACAAATGTGAAATTTTTGTAAGATTAGGCAAATTAGGTGATTCTCAAACAGGCTTAAACATGAATGTTATTGGAGCTGTTGTGAGCCCAACAGCACCTCAGTGGATGTTGCTGTTTGGGTCCAGGAGGTTGGGGAGTGCTACTGAACAGAATTTGGGAACAGCAGCTTCTAAGAGTTTTTCAGTTATGACAGCTGCATATTGATGTTGATTTTTTATTTGCTCCTCACTTCATTTGGAAACATTTATCTTTCTTAGGAGCTGTAACTTACAATATGCTGCTCTTTAATACATGCATATGATACATTGAGTTCAATTTTGTAGACTTACATAAAAGGGTAGGGTAAAATACCTGTTTTCATTTTAGGTTCGACTTGGCGAACTGCAACTTAAATGACGAGTTTGCTAATAAGATGAACCCGCACAATATTCCTGATGTGGTAAGAGCATTTTTTTTTTCTCTGTACAAAGTTCTCTGCGTTACCCAGGGGTATTAGGGAATATAATTTTATAATGAATACTCACTAGTTCCGTAGTGCCTAAGGGAAGAGGGGATATTAATATCAAAATTTGAATAGCATCTAATTTTGAGAACTATTTTCTCACTACTTAAATTTTCAAGTGGTGGTTAAATAATACGTTTACTTCAACTTACCATACTCTTTGGTTTTGTTCAAATTACCATGCACTGTGTGGTGAAAACTGTATTACAACTCCAGTGTGTGTATGCCTCTTCAGGACATAATCCAAAGTGTTGGTAAACTTTTGAATTGAAAAATGCTATATAAATTCTATATAAAACTTCTGAGTGCCAGACTGACTCTACCATTTGTTAGCTGATTTTACAGTTGCCCAAGTCTAGACTTGGGTGGTGTTTTGGATTTTGAAAGAGTGTCATCAGTATTGAAGGTGTGTATGTGTAAATATGTGCTGGTTTTCACTGTAGGTATTAATAAAGAAGAGCTACGACCGTACCAAACGCCAACGTCGCAGAAACTGGAAGCTGAAAGAGCTAGAAAGGGACAGAGAAGGCATGGATACAGATGATGAAAGGTTCAGTATCTGCCATGAAGCTTTTCAGTCCCTTCTACCTAGGATAGTGTGCCAAGTCTAGAAAAAATATTTCTCGGCTTCCGCTGAGCATAAACCCAGTGTAATGCCTAAGCTGATGTGCTGATCGTTAAGGAGGCACAAGCAAATGCTGCTGGGTGTGTTTGAGCGTGATACTGGCTCATAGGACAGGTTGATATCGGTGTTCTCTGAAGAGCAGTATCTCTGCATTTTTCCCGCTTCCCTAGTGCAGGAAGTGGTTTAAGCATCTGCACCTTACTTAATGCTTATCCTGGCTTGACTGCTAAGTTTTCAGGGAACATGGATACTGAGAACAATGGGACAGGGGAGTGTGGAAACAGACTGAACCCTGAAATCTTAGAAATAACACTTCAGGTTTTTCAGGTTTACTGTTCCAAAGTATAAAAGCTATTTTTCTGTTTTTAACAAGAAAAGCTTAAATCGCGAGACAAGTGAGTAGTATCGGAAGCATTGTGTCTGTAGCTTACAGTTGGTGTCTGTCTGGCTAAAGGGACGCTTCTGTGAAAACATGCTTGTCGCTGGTTTGTTCAGTGACAAAGCTGATACAGTAAGAGCAGATTCTAAATAACATTCAATTGAGTAGGAAAAATGAGGCAGTTAGAGTTAAATGAGGAGAGGCAAATTAAACAAATTATTTGGAAACCAGCAGGTGATAATGGAAAAAAAAAAAAAAGCAGAATGAGTTGGAAATGTAGGAAAGCCATCAGAAGGCACATCTGAAGGACTGCAGATTGCAGTCCTTCCTTGGGGCTTCATTTCTTTGCTTTTATTTTGTTTTATAAGTTTGCATAAATCCAAAGGAAAAGTGAGTAAATACATTAAGCATCTTTTACAGGCAATACCAGGACTTCCTTGAAGATCTCGAAGAAGATGAAGCCATAAGGAAGAATGTCAACATTTACAGAAGTAAGGCCTTTTTAACCATTTCATTGCGTGTAACTAAATCATGACTATTTTCCACTCAATATTTTTACTGAAGTTCTGTATTTGGATTGTTTGAACTACTCATGCCTAGAGAAATGCTGTAATGTAATAGCTTCAGATATTCAGTGTATTTCACATGCACTGAATGGATGTTGATGGGTTTTGTTTGCTTGCCTTTAACATGAGGGAGAAGCATATTTTCTCCCACACCCAAAACCTCTGTTGGGTGAAGGATTTGGTACATAATTCAGCATCATCCATAAGGACAATTGGCATGGGATTGTTGGTTTTTAGGAGGGGTTGGTTGTTTTGGGGTTTCGTTTTTTTCCCCCTTTCCTTCCTTGGGGTTGTTCAGGGGATTTTGGGTTTGTTTTCTTTGCTTAGCTGTTTGTTGGGTTTTTTCTATTTGCTTTTTTAGATGCAGATATTCCTGTGGAGAGTGATACAGATGATGATGGTCCTCCACGAATCAGTCTGGCTGAAATGCTAGAGGATCTCCATATTTCCCAGGATGCCACTGGTGGAGAGGGAGCAAATATGATGACAGAATAAGAATAGCGCATTAGTCAATGCAGTAAATATTCCCTTAGTGAGGAAAAAGTACCCAAAACATAACTAAACATTACAAACTGAGCACATGAACATGAAAAGTAACATAGCTACCACTACACCCTTAAATAATGGTCCTGAATTCATATTTTATATATAATCTTCTAGAGAATCAGCAGTTAAAGCTGAATTTCTGGTGCAACCATTGCAATATAAGTTCCACAAGTTCCTCCCATCCCTGAGTGCTGCCTCCTTGCAACTTCTGCAGCTGACTGACTTCAGGGTTATACATTGGGAGTAATCATTGTCTTGTGCAGAAGACAGCTGATAAGGAAGGATGTCCAGAGGGAGGGATTTTATTCTAGTTTGCTACATTTGTAGGTGGAGTGCCTACCTACTGTTTATTGCTTTCATTTATTTGCATGGGAAGGATGTTTCCTGTCTTAATCTTTTTGGTACAATGGTTTGAAGCCTTTTATGATACTGCTAGATTATTTCATATAACAATATTTTGGGAAAGCTCAAGAATGTGTCTTCTGTTCCTTTGGTAAGAGAACTCCAAATATACATGCTTACACAAAAAAACTTCCCTGTAAATTGAGTGAAGATGCAGCTGTTGATCAGAAAGATTGCAAACTTCTGTTAAGTATAATGAATATTGTATTGTACTATATTCCATGCCTGAATCAGTGGATTAAAAGCAATACGCATGATGTCTAATTAATACACCAGGTATGAACTATTAAAAAACTATTCAGACATTTTTCGTCCATCGTTTTTTAGTTAACTTTAAAATCAAATTTCTCTCTACTGCAAGCCCGAAGAGGACATAAGTAGTGTAGGAGAACATTACATACTTATATTCATCTGTTTTGATTCACTTTACTGCACAAAGGTGGTTCAACAGAAATTTTACCAAGAGTTTATGTGCATATACATTTGATTTAACTCAATATAAATAGGGAAACATAGCACAGCATAGTAAGAGTGGTTTGCCACTGCATTTTTTTACCTTCAGGAAAATATACTCAAAATGATTGGCATGTGTAAAGGAGGAAAATACTAATAATGTGAAGTTGGAAGAAAATGTGTAGGATTCATCTGACAGGGTATTAATGGTTCCTCTATCAAGGATCTGTACAGCTCAAATGAGAACACTTGATGTAGTTTGTCACAGCTTGTATTCTTGTAAGAGAAATAAACAGGGCTGAAAATTCACTATTTCTCTGCAGTATCTGCTGAGGAGGTGTCGGGAGCACCTTTCTCTACTTCACCGTACTTCACAGCTTTTCAACGCCTCAAAGAAAAGCTAAGAAACAATCAAGGAGTTAGCAGTGTTCAGCCTACTGCCAGGTGAGAGAAATTTTTGTCTTATTCTTTACTTTAAATGTAATCTTTTGACTAAGTGTTTCCAAACAGGTATGAATCTGCTGGATTTCAGGATTACTGTCTGAGCCTAGGCAATATGCCATAGAAGGCAAAGGTATTTTTGATTGTAAAAGGTGGAGCTAGGTTTAGTTACCAGTTGCAAGGATTTTTTTATTCTGTCTCACAATCTTGTATCACCCATTTGTAAAGGGGGAAAAATGGAAATTCAGAAAGGCGGTTTTGATGTAGCGAAGCTCTGAGCCATCTGTTGGCATTGTTAGCAGCTCAGCCATCCCTTAGTGCCATCTTTTACTGTGTATTTGTGTCACACTAAGCTCTTCTGCTTCCACTCACAGGAGCTTTGTCATATTTTTTTACTATGTAGAAGACCAGTTAAGAAAATCCATAAAGCTGCTGAGAACTAAAGGTACAATTTATCTCATGACAGTAATTTAGTTCAGTGTAGGGAAGGCATAAAACCATGCTTAAAAAATATTCATGAGAACGCAGCTGCATATCCAACCTGAATTAACACTGCAATAAAAATATTTTATTATACATATTCTACAGTAGCTACACCTGCCAGTATTGCTGGGGAGATGTACATAAACTCAATTCTAGTGAGCATTGGGCCAAATCTGTGGAAATTGAAGAACTTTAATTTGTAACATGTAGCCAATTAATGCATTCTGTGTCTGGATGAGATGTGTTTTGGGTTGTGATTTTTCTGATGAGGTAACAGTGATCAAGCCTGTATCTTGCATAGTTTGGTAATAAGCTTGCTGCTGTTGGCAGGTGAAGGGGGAGTGGTGAAAGCTTGTTTTAAACTGTGCTGTTTTGATCAATCCTTTTCCTCCTTCTCTAAGATTTTCCTTCATAGTGTCTCTCAGTAATTTCAGATGTATTGCTGTCTTGTCTGTCATCCTGTTTGTTACTGGAGATGTCCCTCTTCCTTCCCCCTGCTGCATGGTCTGTTGCCAGTCTGTATTAGGTTTCAAGCATCTTTCAGCAAGAGTCTTGTCTGGAAAGATCTCATGCTCCAGATGCTAGGCAAACAAGTCATAAATCTAAGTATATTGCTTGGCTTTTTGTGCGTTTGTTTGCTAGCTGGTAACACATAGTAACAGCTCTCCAATGAGTGGGTAAGCTGTGTGTACTTGAAACCAAAGTTAGTTCTAATTTTAGGTTCTTGAGTTTACAGTGTCCCTTTAACATTTAAACGGTTGGGAGCCAAAGAGGCTTAGATGGTGTACCAGCAGATGAAATGTTTGCCAAGGTCTTCTCACTGACACCGGATAAGTAATTTGCCAAATAGTACTTAATTCACAATAGATAAAAGGCTGCTACTTACCCTGCATCTCTTCCTGAAAATCTCTCTGTGGATTGAGCCACAGCTTAAAGCTCCTCTCCTTTTAAACATACAGAAGTTGCTCCAGGATTTTAAGACATAACTGCTTAATGATTAATTTGTGCCCAGATTTTGATGAATTTTGAATCGGAAGAGTTGAAACATAATGTCCCACTAGTTTGGGGAGGAGGGAGGTTGCTTTTGAGATGTGACTGTATGCACATGTGTGTGTACCAGATTTGGCGCAGAGCATGTGTGATAGCGAGTACCAAGCAGTAGCAGTATGTGTAGTAATTTATGAATAGTAACGCAGATGTAAAAGGGTTGTCTGAAGTAGTTATGTGATGGTTAAATTTGAAGTGTACTTGCCACATGTAATAAGCTAGTAGTAAGACTAAAAAGAAAGAATACTTTTTAAAGTATTTTTTAAAAAGCGCAGTCAGCTGATGAGATTCTGTTTCAGCAGAGAAGAGAAGTTTTGTCCTTCAAAACAGCCAGCATTTTGTTCTCTCAGAAGTAAGGCTTTTACAGGGAGAAACCAAATAAGGCTTCGTACAGCCTTTCGGCCCTGTCACACTAACTTCCCTGGCTAGGAATGGTGAGAAAAAGTAGTTGTGTAAGCTAATGGAGTTTCACTTTTCTTACCCCCGCAGTGAATTACTGGGGGGAAGAAAGGACACAGACAATGCAAGACTAGAGCTAAACTTTGTGGGGTTTTAGTGCTGAATTTCCATTTTGCTTAATGGTGAATCACTTCTTTTTTGGGCTTCGGTAGCCGTAGTGAACAGTGTGTGCAGTAGCTCCCGTGGGCACTTGATGTATTACTGTGATTCTAGATCATTTTATTGAAATTCAAATTTCTTCTATCAAAAAAAAATTAATTTTGTCATGGGAGAAGCTGTCTGGAACTTTGTAATAACTCTCTGAAAGTTTTGCTCACAGAAAATGGTGAAGGAGAATATTGTGTTGCTTAAGTCAAACCTTACAGCACAAAAGTTGGATGATTGAGAGAAACAAATACACAGAAAAGGGTGATTGGGGTATGGAAGCACTACTTTTTGAAATTTTTTTTCTATAGAGAAAAGCATATATTGTTATATATTGATGATGAAAAGCTTAACGGATGATGATTTCACCTTTAACTGCTGTTAATCTGTTGGTAGATTCTCATGTAACTACAGAGGTTCCCAAATGTGGTTCAGGTGGAAATTGTTCAGATGAAATAATTACTGGAAAATATTGTTAAAATCATGCCACACAGCTTACGTGTGTTGTACTAAAAGGTCTGCTTCTGTGCCCATTGTGGGAAATCACAAGCTGAGGAATAGAGTGTGTGCTAGTTGTCGTTGAGATACTGGTCTGGTGAGGAGTTCTAATGGAATTAATGTTATTTTAGTCTCTTACTCTTAGAAGTAGCTTAAATATAGGAAATTACAGGGGAATATTGTGTCATAAATTTTTCCTTGAGGAAGTTAGACTAGTATATAGGTTGCTTCTGTTGTTTGGTTGATTGGGTTTTGGCTGGGGCGAGCATCCTTTCACTGGATACCACTGAGAAGAGCCTGGCTCCATCTTCTTTACTGTCTCCCATCAGGTATTGATACAGATGGATGTGATTCCCACTGAGCCGTCTCTTCCCCAGGCTAAAGGGTCCTGGCTCTCTCGGCCTCTCCTCCTCTGTCGGAGTGCTGCCGTTAGCAGTGGAGGGGAGGAAGGAAATAGTGAGCTGACCATACCATTTCCAAACAGGGAACGTATTTTGGGAAAACCTACACATGGAAAACAGTGCTCACCCTCTCAGCCCACTTTGGGGGAAAAAAAATGTGTATCTGTAGATGTGTCTCTCTGCCCCAAACCTTAGATTAGTTCCCGTATCAACTCTACACCCTCTCACATCTGTCCTTGGACACTCTCCATGGGGGTTTAGGAGCTGCGGGGCAACACACCACTGGCCTTTGCCTTTGCTGCCCCTGTAACCCAGCACGTTGTGTGCTCAGCCTCCTGGCATGTCCTGGAGAGATGCTGGATCTGATCCTGCCCAGGCTGGGGTCAGCAGAGCAACTCCGCTGGGGGCTGGAGGGAGGGCAGGATTAGACCCTTGCAAACGGGGGTAGCGTACGGTCCATTGTGGAGACACCGCCTGCAGTCAAATCGCTGAGAATCCAATGTGGGCAAGTACTGTTAGACAAATTCCTTTTTCTTTTTGTAACTGAAACGTGCTCAGGATGGAACACACAGTGCTGGGTGTGTTGTAAGGATCTTTCTAGGAATGACCAAATGCACTTCGCTTGAAAGGCTGCGACGTCTTGGTGAGAGGCACGGGCCTCACGTCGGTCAGGAGGCATCTGCAGTGGCAGGCACTTGCCCGTTTTTCTGTAGAAGTTGCTGTAGAAGAATTGAGATGTGCCTGTGATTAATGTGATAGTCCACCTGATGTCACTATTCCTTCATGGTAATGGCCCCAAAAGCAATCTGTTCAGCTGCTACAAAGAAAAGATGGCTATAAACTCTGAAAAACTTGTTTATGCTGATGTAGTTCCTAATATTTTCACTTAAGTTTAAAATGACATAACACCAACCTAAGTAAAAATAAGACAAAAGCTGCTTTGAGCTTGATGTTAAAGGACTTATTCCTGGCAAATCACACCTTCTGCAGACAGATTCGTCTCTACGTACGCTTTGCCAGGGCCATTTATTTTAGCTGCACTCTCCAGAACAGTTAAATGTAGGGGTGAGACTCATGTGTTGGGTTTCAGAGGAGGTTTGGCAATGTTTGCTGTAGCTCATTCCAGAACATAATCGCGTAGCAAAAAATATTACTGCCTTCAGAATTTACCGATGTTTTCTGTACTTCACCTTCATCGTAAGCTTAGGATGGGAACCTGGTTAAGACACATAAGAAACAGGAGATGAAGTTTAAAACTTGTCAGGATCTCAGTTCCATGATGCAAAACAAAGCATAATTGTCAAGAGAGAGAAGTGCCTTTGTGTAATTTGAATATTCAGCTTTGTAAAATGAAACAATTATGTATGACCTAAATCCACAACTAATGTACCTTTTCACATCAACTAAGAAAATGTTTCAGGTGTGCCAGGCATGGAAAGGACTTGAAAAACTATTTTAAAATAATCTGTGCTCGGTGAAAAGTTTTGTAAGATAGAAGGAACTATTTAAGCTGTAAATTATTTGTCCGGTTGGTTGTATACCATTTAGCATGATGAGACTTCATGCTGCATGGACTGTAATGATTATGATTTAATGCCTTTGTTAGTAATGTAGGTCTTTTTTGATTCGTACCTTTTTGGAGGGTGGATCTGAGATACAGGTTAAAAATTGCAGCCCTTTATACCTCTGCTGAAATGAATTTATGCTGATGTATGAAAGCTTGACATATTTAAGCCAGTATGAATGGAGCAGAAGAGAAAACAAAGTCGCTGTTTGAAGCTCTTAGGTTTGTTTTAGACTTTTCCTTAAAAGGCGAATGATCATATTGAAAACAATCCAGAATTAAGTCCTTTAGGAGCCCTGAGTCCCCCGAGGAGCAGAGGTGTTCAAGCACTCTGTGTTGCGCTGTCTGGATCTGAGGTCCCCTGATGGACGCGTTGGTCGGAGGTAGGCATGCAGGTTCCCAGCGCGGCACACGCAGAGAGTTAGTCCCAAAGCAGAGGATCTGCAGAAGCTGCCACCCTGAGAAGGGAGATGCCGGAGCCATCCCGGTGGCAGTGCTCGTACGAGCACTGGTGAGAGGAATCGCACTCAGGCCACCCTTCAGCTGACTCTCGGAGGCAGCTGCTCCTTGGCCTTCCAGCATCTCTGGGCTTCAGTGCCTGTTCCTGTACCCGTGTGCTAAACTCCACGGCCTAGCAGGTGGCTGGTATTGCCCAAGACTCGGATCCAGCACAAGGATGCGTACGCTCCAAGTAGGATTTAAAAGGAATTCTCTTCAGTCCAAATTATGACAATGTTGAGACAGCTGCCTTTTAACCTTGGCAACCTCTGAACTCCATATATAGCTCACTTGCTTACTGCACTTTCCTCGTTGCCTGAATTTGCTCTTTCCCAAAGCCTGTGATCTCCAGCCTGACGCAGTCTCTTGGAAGGATTCCTGTTGCTGTGGCTTTCCCACTCTGTAATGAGGTCAGCTGGAGTTAAAATGCTTTGTAAAAGTTTGGGTATTTGTAGCTACTCCAGGTTTTCTCTAAGTTTGATTTGACTTTTTACTATCACTTCCCGTAATATAGGCATAAAGCTTCTATAGGTGTCACTGACAGGTAGCATCCAGTAAGAAACTTAGAGCGCTGTGTTACATACCCAAACGATAGGTCAGTAATATCTGATGCAGTTGAGCTCATACACAATTCCCTGCACTCCAACAGAATGCGAGATACATACAAGATTATTTAATCTCGAAAACAAATTCTTTTAACACAGGTTTCTAATATAATCTAACAAAATAACCAAAAGTCAAGTTTGAGTGTTAATGACCTTTAATGCATCACTTCATTATGCAATTAGCCATGCATGGCTGTGTAAGTGAAAGCAGCCCTGGGTATCCTCACATAAGTCTTTCAAATGGAAAAACTTGTTACAGGATATAAATACTCTGGGGGATTTTGTTGGTGTTTGATTTGAATTTAACCAGCTTTCTAAAAAATACAGGTGCTTCTCAACAGCATATTTTAATTTGCTGGGTGACACTCTCTAGCCTCCACATGCAACGTGCAGTGGGAAGCAACAAAAAGGTTTCATTTGCCTCTAACCAAGCGTGTGCCCCTCCAGGCTAGAGCTGAGGGAAGAGCTGGGATCCACCGCCAGCCTGGGATGATGCTCTGACTGCGGCTGGGTGTTGTTTCATACCCGGTATGCTCCTCAGACTCCCCTCCACAGCCCAAACGTGCCCGCTGCCCCAGGGGATGGGAGAGGACTTGCTAAGTGACTTCCAGTCTTTGTGCACCGTGTGGACCTGGTGTTTTAATTGGGCTCTTCGGGGAAGTATTGGCAGACATTTCAGGTTTAGAGGTGGGAAGCTACGCGCCGATTGTATGGTGGGGAGGTAGCAGGTCGGGGCCGCCCTTTTGCCTGCACTGTCTTAAAAGGTGAGAGCTTTGGGAACAAATTCTTCCTCTGACAGGCAAAGGCATCACATCTCTCCTTTTAGATGGCTGCCTGGTGGCCTGAACCCCAAGCTGAGGTGGATCACTAATTCACCTACTAAATGTGTTGTGTTGGTTTTTTTAATGTGGTGATTACGAATGGATTTGAGCAAGGTCAGAAATCACATGCTCGTTGAATGCTCAAGCACCTACAGGCTCATCATCTATTTTCCTGCCTGACGTATCCTCAAAGAGGAGCACTGTCAGTAGGAGGGATGTGGAGAGCCTCACTCTGGCACATCTCGTATTGGGAATTTAATGATGTTTACAGGTTCAATGCATGTCAAAAGGAGATGGTATGCGAGTCCTTTCTGTCTTACATGAATGCCATAGCCATTAGGCTTCTGGATTTCTCTCCTCCTTTTAAGGCAGCCACATACCAGCCTCGGCTGTCTGTGCGAACCCGACTGGGCAAACAGAATTTGTGAACTCATGGGATGAGCAGGAGGCAAATGCTTAGCTGCTCAGCTGTCGCCCTCTGTTCAGCGAGGCAGCAGTTACAGCCAGTGACAACTTGGTACCTGTTTAGGTACCCTGAGTAATTTTCTGGTAAACCTTAGGAGCCCCAATGCCTCTAGTTTTAAGCAGCAGATGAATAGTGGAAAACCTGCGTTATGAGATGATGGACCGCATATTAAGTATCTAAGCTGAAACAGGGGCAATATTCTTACATGCATTTCCTGTAGCCCTCAAACCAAAACAGGAATGATCCCATCATACATAAAGTATTAACTCTTGCCTTTGTAGAAACATCTTTTTGAAATACTAGGTTATTTGTTAATGTTTTTTTCTTATACATTCTGTACAAACAAAAATAAATTCAAACCAAGTCAGCTGTATGAGAAGGGACAACATTTTAGATTCTTGTAGTTGTAAGATCTGTAAGAGGATGCCCCTTAGTACCCTCAGCTGTGCTTCTCATTCCAGCTCCTCGGACAGGGCAGGCAGTTCAGCATATGGAAGTCAGCAAGGTGAGTGAGAAGCTGCTGGTGCTGCGCCATGAGAAGCGCTGCAGAGAGGAAGAGACAAAGTCCCAGCCTCCTCAGGGAAGCAAACATTCACACTTGCAAATTCTTACCTTTGTCCCTCTGAAAAATATTTTTAAAAACTTCTATGTAAATACTATTTTATACAGTATTTACACTGTATACTGGCAAGGTTACCAATACAGGAAGAAGTGATTTTCTGTAGCAGAGACAACTATAACTAAGCTGTTGCACGAAGTAGTTTCAGCTGAGCAGGAAAGTTAGGCAGAAAGTTTCAGCCAGGCAGGACTGAGTTATTTAAGGTCAGCTTTGTAAAAGGAAGCAGATCTGCTGTAAACTCAACATTGCTCTAAACAGCTATATGCAAGATGACAAGGAATACATTCTGTGGGATGTAGAGCTATTAAGTGCTGACAAGTTCATCTTAGAAACAGGATTTTCAAGTCAGATAATGAATAGCTAAGATAAGAACTCAAATTACGCTCAGATGTAAAGAGTAGCATAGACAAAATGCATACATCATAGCAAAATAAAGTAACAAGAAGGAGCATGAACTTCTCTTAGGCCTCCAAAACTGTTAGAAGTAATCAGTGGCAGAGGGAGTGAAGTTCCACGTGAACAAATCATCATTGCCTTTAGGAAGTTTAAACTATTTGGATCAATAAAATACAGATTATAGTGTAGTGAGAGATAAGCTGTAAAACTCCTACAATAATAAACCTTCATAATGAGGATGCTGTGAATCTACCATTATGTATTATAGCTGTAAAGATCAAACAGTTCATAGTGAAAAGCAGTTTGATTTTAGCAGACATTTATTCTGTTCTTTAGGTTCAACTCTTGCTGAACCAGTGTTGTTAAGTTGTGCAATTTAAATATGAGATTCTTTTTAAAAAGTGAAGCAGTGATCTGAATGGTGCTCCACATCACCCTCACCATCCTTTTTAATGTATAGTACCACAGTGACGTTAAACTTCCCCTGTAGAAACGCATGGACCAGGAGGTCAGATCTGTTCACAAAGGTGGGGAGTGGAAATGATGTTAGAGTACCAGACTGGTTATAGGTCAGAAACTAACTCTCAAATTAAGGCTGCGTGTTAAGTCCACGTTTGCAAATACTAAAATTAAGTCCTTTATTGGCAGAAAGTTACTAAGCAGTGCATACTGCATATGCAAGCATATGCTGTGGTCAGCAGGCCTAGGAGATAGCAACCAGCGCCTCTTGTTCATGCATCTGATTGATAATAAAGCCCTGCAGACACCAACTGCAACCAGCCATCTCTTTTCCCATGCACACACCCCCAAATGCTCAGCCCACACGGACAGTGGAAAGCAGGCATCTGGAATTAGTAGCTATCTAGCACGGCAGGCATCGGTGTTAAGGATTTGATATTCTCTTGTTGAGCAAGCAGATCCACTGACAGCGTTGAGATTAAGCAGCCACCGCAGTGTCTAACAAACAACGTCCTACTCATGTAGACTCTACGAGTGTCTCTGTGCAAAAACTGTCTGCTGTGGGATGGCCTGTCTAAGTGAGAAAGTTTGTCCGAAAAACTTTGCTTTTTCTTGGCTGTGCAAGGAATTTGGGCAAAGTGGGGTGGAAATGCTGCTGGTGCTAGCAAGAAGTCACCAGGAACTGAACTTGGTACAGGTGTCCTCAGAGAAGGGTGTGCAGGCAGGAATTGCAGGGAATATTCTTTTTCCTATTCCTCTTGAAATACTTTCTGCTTCAGCCATGTGACAGTAAATCTAGATTTGCAACAGCTATCACCAGGTTTCAAAAACCAACGTTGTGGCCAGTCAGTACGGTCTGTACAAACTAGTACAAACACTGCTGACTGCAAAAAATCTTGAAAAACGTTGAAGCAGGCTGTTAGAGTAGTCTTTGTTCCATGTCAGATAGTGTCTGTTCTCACACAGCTGGGATAAACGTTATCAAGTGCATGGCTAGTTTGATAGACACCAAATTATACCAGTGCCTGGCCTTGATCAAATTTACCTTGCCAGATGAGCATGCACAGGCCTGACATGAGCAAATCTGGAGCTGTGGCCTTACTCTATCAATTCAACACCTCAGGCTGCTGGTCAGAGCGCAGCTTCCAATAGGGAACCTGCCTGAGCAGGTTAGTGTTTTGAAACTGAAATTGCAAGATGGAGTTTGCGTGTAATATTTTAAATCCAGTTCTGTAGACGAGAGCCTTGGTGACAGGCAGGGAAGAGACTGTGATGAGTAAAACTAATCAAGAAGTTGGGGGTTTTTTTCAGCTGCCACTTAGGCCCTTGATTCCGCCTTTGCTTTTTGGTTCTTTCCTGGCTCTCTCCAATTCACGCAGCTGAGCTAGGACCTTTGCTGCTGCAGAACAGCACAAAGAGCTGAAACAGCATCGCTGTCCCTGGCAGACACAGAGGAGCCGTCCGTGCCGAAGGACTGCCGCATGCAAACCGGGCAGCTCAACAGACACGATCCTACCCCAGCTGTTGCAAAAGAGGCACCAGGCCCTTCGGGCGACCACAACAAACACCAAGTGGGTTTGGCTGGAGAGACCGGGAAAGGGCGGCAATAAACAAAAACACGCCCAGGGTCAGAGTTCCTACTTCTGCAGCCTGATGTCAGATTCCTTAATGTCAACAAATACTTGGAATGTACGCGTATAGTCTTCTACTATAATTTAGTGTAAACATAGCTACAGTGGCTGGCTTATCCACTGAGCTTTCTTTGCAGGTATACAATGCAGTATGTGCATGTTTCTCCAGCATGTATAGTGCAAAATACTGTATTTACATATCTACATTATAGACTGGCAGTTTTGAAACAAAATTGTGATCTTCCTAAGTAGTCTAATAATTGACAGAACTGAAATACTATGTTTCCCTCTTCTGTTCCTAAGCAGTAAGTGCAATATACATACTGAGCATGAAAGCTCTCACATAGGAGCAAATGTAACATATTTACTAATTTAGCCATTAAATTACTTCAATAAAGCATAGAATTGGATTCTAATCTGAAAGCATTAAATAGATCTTTTTTTCAAACTTGGAGATTACTTGGGTACTGTCAAACGAGTTGTAAGTTTAAGCACAGCTGCCTTCATTTTGCTGAATAAACTATTTTCATATCCTATCTTATTTTCCCCTAATTATAAATTGGAAAGTAACTGAATCTCATGTTGAGATGACAAATAACATAATTAGTGTCTTCACTTTATCACGGTCTATGACCAAATCTCATTTCGTAAGTCATTTGATTGCCGCTTACTAATAGCATCTTACTCTCTTGAGGGAGAGGATGTACTAGGAGCATCTCTATGCTGGAAAGACGTAAGAAAACTCACCTGAGGGTGGGTGGGAGCAAAGTTGTGCCTATGTTACCCTGTACATGCCCTGCTACTGCTCTCTTCTTCTCCTGGGATGATAGAGAACACCAATTCTAGTTGCCAAGTTAATTGTATTGGGACTTCATCCCTGGCCAGCTCCAGTCCATGTCCGCTGTAGCAAGCTGGCAGCACAGGCATCTCCTGTTTCTAAGGCTGAAGCTTAAAAAACGTGGAAACAAAGCCAATTACAGGGTGACCAGCGCATTACTTACAAAGTCTGCAGTCTCAAGAGTTCATGTTTCAGACACTACTCGACAGGTAGAGTATAAAAGGAGGTAAAAGAGGGGGAATGATGCGTTTAGGAAAAAAGGAGAGACATCGTATTTCAAGTAGGGATTTTATTGGTTTTCAACCGAGATGTCCCTACCACAACTGAAAATGTAGTTTCATGTTCTGTATATGATATGCATGCTTTACCAGTCTTCTAAAAATAAAACAAAAATTATCTCTTTTTATAAAGTTCAATAATATGATAATTTTATTCTAAATTTTCATGGAAGTAAATCCCCACATTTTTAATAAATTAACTGCATTATTTGCACAATGATGATGAAGCAGTCAAGTAATTCATTGTATTAAATAACTGAGGGAACTAAATAAATAATAAAATCATTCTATAAATACATGCATACCAAGCTTAGAGAAGCAGCTTATAGCTGTGTAGTGTGCAAAACCTTTTGTGCACACATCTCTCCTATCAGCAAAGCTATGGCAGACAAGAACAAATGTATGCCATATAATTTCTCAAGATGAAAACCGCTCAATATCCAAGGAGATCTCCCTGGAATAAAAAAATACACAGCACAGTCGTTTCTGTACCAAACCCAGCTTCGTAACTCCAGCCAGTCTTTAAAATTGAAAGCTCTTTAAGAAGCAGTCAGTCAAACAATAAAAACAAGGACTGATTGAAATTGTTTTGGCAAAATAATTTGCTGTCAGAGAGTCCCAGAATACAGAAGAACATTAAGAGATACTGCAGAATAAAACAGTGTTTGCGCACACCCTGAACCTGTTTCTAAACAAAAATGGAGTGTTAAGAAAAACAGTTCCTTGATCCAAAAGTCAGTGTCAGGTTGCCAATGTTACTTCACAACAGAAACAGTATTTTCATGTTGGTTTCCAAGTAAGTGCAAGAAGAATTGAAAAGCCGTGCTAATGTGGACAGGGACAAAGATGTAAGCAGTGTATAATACCATAACTAACATAGTAATGTTGAAAGTGTAGAAAAGCAGTTTTTCCCAGGGCTCCATGAGATAGCTGCAGGTGATTAGTTCAAACTGGCAGTACAGCCAATAGAGGTAGTTCTTCAGGCTTTTAATATCCATCTTCAGCTTTGTGCCACTTCTGAAAGCCCTCCCTATTACAATAAAGGATAGTTAGTAGAAATAGAAACCTCACAAAAAAGAAAAAGGCAAAGATACATAAAAACATCGTATGGGCAGCAGCTCCATGCTATTCAGTTTGCGCATACTATTTTTAGTAAATGATGTATTGAAAACACAAGAGAGCTAAAACCCCAAGACTGCAAATACATTTTAAAGCATAAAACATGATCAGATAGTAACAGACTAGCATGAGTCATCCTTTTACCCTATGCCATAAAAGGCTTGATTCGTATTCCTTTTTCCCTTCCTACATTCAGTTCTGAACATGACAGTCCAATTTAGACCACTATGTACTGGGCACTGTTATTTACCAAGGAGGTTCCACAATATCTATTTCCCAGAAATTGGTTACCCAACTGTTGCAATTCCGTTCTCCAAGCCAAACTCTACTTTCATAACTTTGCTTTGCACAGGATTATTTAAGACTCTGTTGAAGCAGCGTAATTCAAAAAGCATTTCAAACCCTCTCTCCTTCACCATTCATAGATTTTGACATAGAACTTGGCTAGAAGTCTGATTTCTACTACTGTAGACTGAATTTTATGTCTCATGCTGCTGGAATGCAAACTGGGAGAATGCAGAATACCACACATACAGAACTACAATAAAAGGAAACTATATACAGATTATCCAGCTACTTCTACAACAGAGATTGATCTGTTGCCAGAATGTAAACACATAACTTTATTTTAAAGCTTTGTGTTCAAATTAGCACTAATAATTATTAAGTGTTACATTATATAGTCACCAGAATACAGAGCTGGAGAGTTAAAGGGAAAACAGGACTATTTCAGTTACTGGTGCTTCCTGTCATTTGGCAAATGTGAGGAGACAAAACAAAACCTGTGATTCCCCTCTTTTTAATTGGAAAGTTAAGAACTTTTGGTGGTGTCAAGATCTGCAGAAAAAAACTTATTCCACAGAAATTAAATGCAACTTCACAGATCTATATAGAGTGGGATTTTATCTGAACAAAAGCCCTTCCTAAAGTTTTTAGAAAAAAATTGCCTCACCTTTTCCACTTTACTTCCATAGCTTCCACACCTCTTTTCTGTCCAACAGGTGAGACAGACTAGGTAATGCTTCTGTAGTTGAGAATTATTATTAACTACTTTCAGCAATATCCTTGCTATATCTGTCATATTTCTGTATATTTCTTGCAGTTTTTACTAAATCCAGGTTATACTTAAGCCTCTTACCATCAAATGTATTGCCAAGCTACTTTGAGGAAAGACTTTCCTTACAAAAAATGGATTTTGCAAAAAGTAGAACTTACCTCTTCACTTCTCTCTGATGACAAAGTATCTAGATGAGAGATGCTTCCTCACACTTCTGCCTTTTGCAGCTGAACAGCTCATGTACAGATTGAGAAGCAGAAACAATTAGCTTTGATCCTCAATTATAGAGTGTGTGTCCTGCATACTCCGCCCTTCTTCACTATTGCTAAAAACTCCTCTGGCCGAAGCTGTCTGCATTATGCAACAAGGACAGCCATCATCTGGCTCAGTACCGCACTCTCATGATAGCATTAATTTGATAATTTGTACAAAGTCAAAGTTGAAGAACTGCAGGTAGGGAGGAACATACAAGGCTGAAATACTATTTAGGACAATCAGCAAAAAATGTTTACAATTATTGCCTTCCTTAGTTTCAAATCTCAAAAAAAATCTCTGTTTCTGTGGGACTTTACAATGCAGGCTGCCAGAGTTCCTACAAGGTGCCATTTAATGTCCATGCAAAAATATGATGTCAGAGTTAAGTAGCCACAAAAATGTAGCTCAATTAATATGTCACAGGAAAGTCTCTGGTGAAGCCACCACCTCCTGCAACCTTTGATTAATGCCACTTTCAAACAGTTCCGTCTTCTCTGCATCGGTATCTCCCAGCCCCATATACACACCTCAGTCGTCCTCATCCAGAAACCCCAGGGTGAAGAGAGTATGTGGACAAGATTTCTACAAGGAAAAGATGGTGAGTTTTTCTTAAAAATGCTACAAAATAAAACCAAGCCACAATGCTTGAGGCATTTTAATGATCTAATTGGACAAGTAAATTCGGTAGAAATCTGCATAATATATTATGTTCTAAACTATCTGCCTGCAGTCAAATCATTTCCAAATATGAATCAGCTTCATTCTGGGAGAATATGCCACAAGCAATGTCTAAGGCATCTGAACCTCACCTTCTTTCAACCCTTCCTTACTAAACACAGCCTGAGCTGATATATTAGTAAATGCTGACCTGCTCCCTCAACCTTTTTTTTTCCCCACAGTTTTCAACAAAATAAAATTTTCTGTTTAAAAACTGTCCACTTTCCATAGAAAATTCAGAAACAGTAAACCACTGCCCCTGGCAGCAGTAGTCAATATGCCCTATGCCTTACCTTTCTCCTGCAGAGCCAGGCATCTGCCACAGGAGTGCATCTCCCAAGCTGGACGAACTACTACATCTGGAAGATATAACTGAGGTTGGGGTTTAGAGAGTGGACTCATCAAATGTGAAATATAATTGCCCTGGAGTACTGCTGCAGGATTCTTATCTCAAGAGTTTCTACTTTCAACCAGACTTTCTCAGCTACATATTTCAATGGAGTATGGAGGGCTGGGGTACGATGAGGAGGGGTTTAGGGGTTTTTTTTTCCATGAAGATGTTGGTGAGAAACAACATATACACAGGAGAAACAACATTTGACTACCACAGTGCCCACATTCTTGGCAGGCCAGAATCCCTGCTTCATGTTACTCACCTTCCCTGTGAGGTAGATCAGCCTCTTCTGAATCCTTTAGCAAGATGCAGCAGCAGAGCACTGATTACCAGGGCAGCTGAAGGCAGGGCTGTCACCTCCATGCTCTCTGAATCATCTCCAAAAAACATCTGCATAAAAGCCAGGAAAACTCGGGTCGGTATTTCTGCCGTTCTCAAGTGCACAAAACTGTACAGATGTTTTCATTCTTTTCAATAATTCTCCACTAGTTCTTTCAATAACAAATTCCCCGAGTTGAAACAATGCAGAAAGTGAGACTTGCCTGGCTTTGCTTTAGTTCTAACAGCTTCATAAAGTTTTTACCTGACAGCTGAGAGCCATTGCAAAAGAGGTAGGTGACAGTGCAGAAGATCAGGCAATTTCACAGAAATTAAACGCTGGGGTAAGCAGAATCCATTCCCAACCTAATGCTGTAAGCAGGTCTTGGACGGTGGTATGTAAAGCCCCCAGGCATCCTCTCCTCGCTTTCTGAGCAGCCACTCCTGCTGCTTTTCCCAGCTTCTACCCCAAGGGGAAATAAGAACTCGTGAATACCTTTCACAATTCGTAATCAGATGTGTGTAGCTCCACGCAGAATACAAGATTTGCCTGAAATGCCTACCTCTTAAGGCGGTTGTACCCTATGTGCTTTAAGACACTTTTCCCCACACAGGGAAGAAACAGAAATAGTCTTCAAGATTAAAAAAAACAAACCACCATCACCACCAAAAAACCCAGACAAAAACATACTGCTACATTTGGTAAAATGCTGTGACGGATGACTGCAGATGCATGGAGAAAGCTTTTTTGCAAAGATCTTAACTCCGAAGAGCAGTCTCCAAAGAGACTCTCCTGAATAGCACTCTGTCCCTGAGGGGCTGGTCCCTTGTTTTCAGGTCTCTTGATCATGTTGCCCACACAATTAAATTTCAAAACCTATTTTTACTCCTTCTCACTGTGGTTTCCAGCCAAACAAATTCAAACACAGCCATATAAAAATCATACAGTGACACAGCATACTTCTTCCTAGCAAGGGAAACATGAATTAAAAGAGCAAACCAGAAACATTCAAATTACCACTGCACTAAAGGAAATCACCAGCCTCCCTTTTTTTAAGTTCAGTGAGGTTCCCCATATGGAAAAGCAGCTACTTCTGGTTTATACAGGATTTAGCAGATTAGCTCCATAAGCAGAAGTAAGGGTTTTTTTCCTATTATTTCATGCCTTATAATGGGATCCTCTGATGTCTAATAAGGTGTAAACCCATACTGAGGCATTTGCTCTGCATTTGGCTTCAGAATGGCTGTCTTCTGTGTAGCTTCTCTGCAGTCTAGTAAGGACTATGTAATAATGCTGCTTTTCTTTTCTTGATCATCTCTTTTGACAAAATCCATATCTTTGATTTCAGTAGTTCTTTTTCTGATTTAACTGAAACTGGCCATGGGTTAAAAAGTATGGTATGTGGGAGTACAGAGGGAGAGAGGTAATGAAAGAAAATAAGCCTCATTTCCGTAGAAGACTGAGCTAAAAATGCCTGAAATATCTCTGCCTCACATCTATACACTGTGGTGAGTCCTTTATCGGTCCACTTAAAATTTAGACACTGGAAAATAATGGAAGCAGAAAGTCAAGGTGATCAGGACAGCTTTCTAATCTACCCCATCCATCTATCCACACAAAGCAAGGCACAGACAAGTTTGTTTTGTTGTAATAGCATACTTTTTCTTCTTTCCAAGAAGACAGATCAGTTTGATCCATTTTGGCTCCAGCACTGCTTAGAAAGAATGGAAAGAAGCAACATCGCCGATGAATTATTAACATACTGGGGAGGCAGCCTGCTGCAGCTCTGCGCGACAGCCATCAGCTGCATGTGCACTAGTACAAGCTCTTCTGGCTGCAGCTTCAAGTCCGGAATGTGGTTCTGCTCGGCTCGGCAACCTCTTCCTGCCATCCCCTCGCGCTGGGAGGGAGGACACATCACGGAACTAGTCAGGCCTGGCAGGACAAAGATGTGCCAGCACCCTCAGTCTGTGCACAGCCTGACCACACAACCACAAGTGCTGGAGGAAGGGACGGGAAGGAAACACATGACAAGGACAGGGAGGTGGTGGGAGGTTGGGCAGGCCAAGGCAGCCCAAAGATGAGCTTAACCTGCTACACAAACAGTGGTGCCAACCTCCTCCTATGAACATCTGCAGCCTCTGATAGTCATCATCTGTCCTCAAGACACCTGAG